GCTGGCCCAAGGTCCCTCAGGGAGCTCAGGCCACACGCAGCAGCAGCATTGCTGGGGGGGGGGCTGCAATCTCGCCCCTGCTGTGTCAGGCATGTTGGGGGGCAGCTGCCGCTCCCTCCTCACTAAAACTTCCTCTCCCAGCTGTTTTCTTTGACTAAAACGGCCTCCCAATCCCTATAGGTTGCTCCCATGTGTTGTGCAAACACAAAGAATGGCAAGGACCATAAAGGGGGGGGCACTGTAGACAGCCCCTTACTTATTTAAACGTCCTGGCTGCTGTGCAGGTAGAGGCAGTGGGGCTGATTCTGCCAGGCTGAGCAGGATGGGGCCAAGCCTTGAGCTTGGGGGTTTGTCGCCGTCTGCCTCTGCCCTAAGCCCCTTCCCTTCTCAACAAGAACACGAGAGAGCAGGGCCTTCTCCGTGGTGGCTCCTCACTTGGGGGATGCTCTCCCCAGGGAGGCTCACTTGGAACCTTCCTTACGTTTCTTTAAGTGCCAGGCAAAAACATCCCTCTCCTCCCAGGCCTTCGGCTAATTAAACAATTTGTGGCTTTTTAAACTGTGCTGGTTTTGTGAGGTGCAAGTGACTCTCAGGCTTTGGGAAACTGGTAAAGAATAAATAATCAGAGCCTGCAGGATCAGGTCCCTGGGGGCCCATCTAGTCTGGCATCCATGCAGATGCCCTTTCTGTGAAACCCAGAAGCAGCATTCCAGCACACGAGGCCCCTCCCCTCCTGCGGCTTCTGGCCACATTTACGTATTCAGTAGCATGTGCTCCCTCTGAGCCTGAGATCAGGGAGGAGCCATCCCAGCCAGTAGTCACAATCCCTGACCTGACCTTTAAAGCATCTTAATGGGTGGGTGTTCTGCGCAAGGAGCTGTTACCAGTCCAGCTTCACATAGGCCCCCCTCCCCGCCTTGTAGCTGGTCTTGCTGGCCCTTCTTCAGCCATAGGGACTTGGCCTGGGCTTGGGGGAGTCATAGGGCAAGTGACTCAGAGCATCTCATGGCCATTGGGCATCTGATGAAGGCAGGAGTGAATCAAGCATCCCTTTGACCCTGGTGGGGGCTGAGCTGGGGATCACACCCCCGTGAAACATGGCACTAAGTGGAGAGATGAGAGAACCCCACCCCCCAACCCACTCCCTGTTGCTGCAAAGGCTCAGAGGAAGGAGGAGTGTGGCTCTTTGTTCTCACCCTCTAGGCGGGGGGGGGCAGGTGTGCTTATTATTTAATGTCATAAAATTTATACACTGAGGTCCAGCATCAAGGGCCTCCCTGAGAGAAGTGAGGTTACAGGGAACCAGGCAGAGGGCCTTTTCGGTAGTGGCACCCGCCCTGTGGAATGCCCTCCCATCAGAGGGAAATAAACAACTATCTGACTTTTAGAAGACATCTGAAGGCAGCCCTGTTTAGGAAGTTTTTAATGTTTGATGTTTGATCATGTTTTTAATATTATGTTGGAAGCCGCCCAGAGTGGCTGGGGAGGCCTGGCCAGATGGGGAGGGTATAAGTAATAAATTACTAGTACTGCAACTACACAATGACAAACCTCGACAGCATCTTAAAAAGCAGAGACATCACCTTGCCAACAAAGGTCCGTATAGTTAAAGCCATGGTTTTCCCAGTAGTGATGTGTGGAAGTGAGAGCTGGACCATCAAGAAGGCTGACCGCCGAAGAATGGATGCTTTTGAATTCTGGTGCTGGAGAAGACTCTTGAGAGTCCCATGGACTGCAAGAAGAACAAACCTCTCCATTCTGAAGGAAACCAGCCCTGAGTGCTCACTGGAAGGACAGATCCTGAAGCTGAGGCTCCGGTACTTTGGCCACCTCATGAGAAGAGAAGACTCCCTGGAAAAGACCCTGATGTTGGGAAAGATGGAGGGCACAAGGAGAAGGGGACGACAGAGGACGAGATGGTGGGACAGTGTTCTCGAAGCTACCAGCATGAGGGAGGCAGTGGAAGACAGGAGGGCCTGGCGTGCTCTGGTCCAGGGGGTCACGAAGAGTCAGACACGACTAAACGACTCAACACTACTCCTACTCCTACTCCTACTACTATTACTATAATACACTGCTAGATTAAAAATACAACAACAACCTCAGAGTGGTTTACAAAAAGATAAAATAATAAAATTGAGGGAAAAGCACAACACTTTTAAAAACATACAAAAAATAAAATACTAAAACAGATTAAAATTCACTGGCTTTCTAAGCGTCTAGACAGGCTTCTCAAAACAGGAATGTTTTTAGCAGGCACTGAAAAGATACAGCAGGGAGTTCCAAAGTGCTGCCGCACTGAACAACCGAGTTATTACAGATGTAGAATTGGTATTCATATCTGAAGAAGTGTGCATGCACACGAAAGCTTATACCAAGAACAAATTTAGTTGGTCTCCAAGGTGCTACTGGACAAATTATATATTTTTATATATATATTGACTGAGTCAGAGCAACACGGCTCCTTACCTGAATCTGGTTTTACTTTTGTGGCACCTGCAGTAGTGCCAGTTCTGCTGATCAAAGCAATTGAGTGGGCACCTGTGGGGGGGGGGCAAGGCCATCTCATAGATAAAACTGTTCCCACGTGGTTAAGGGCTTTATATATGAACAATAACACCTTGAACTTGGCCAGGTAGCAAATGGGCAACCAGTACAGATCTCTGAGCACTGTGTGCGTTGTGCAGGTGAGGGCACAAAGGGCACAAAGGTCTGGCACTGCAGCGGACGGGCAGCCCTGAGCCACCCACACCCAGACCCTGCTCCATTTGGGGCCAGGGCTTGCTTGGGGTGTGGCTGTAGGTGTGGCAGTTCCTCCAGAGCTGAGTCTGTCCTTCCCCTGGGAAGGAAGGGGGTGATGGCTGGCCTGTGGGTGGGTGTGGGTCCAGAAGTGGGCGGTGATGGGTTATCTCTTCCTCCTCCTCAGCTCTGTGGTCTGGGGAGATTTTCCTTGCCCACTCATTAACCTCCTCCCTGCAGGACCGGCAATATAAGACAGGTCTCCTTCTCAGCCCTCAAACACACACAGCAGCAGCCTGAAGGTAAGGGCTCTCTGTGGGAGGGGCGGTCCTGAGTCTCTGAGCTGCAACCTGCTTTGGGAAGGGGGCTTTGTGAGGCAGGCAGGGCCGGATTGAGGTTTGATGAGGCCCTCAGCTACTGAAGGTAATGGGGCCCCTCCAGCTGTCCTTCGTCAACAACAAATTGTCGCTGTTTTTTGTGTTGAATAGATGCTAGATGGTACCGGTAATTGATGGACCTAGTAGGTATCTCAAGCCATTTGCACATAACAAAATATGTATTTTAGCAAAGTAATTGTTGAACTGAGATACAACTAATAAGAAGTATATTAATAGTGAAATAATTACTGAGCTTTAACTTAAAATGATTTTTTATTCATAACAAACTTAATAATGCAGAGACATTGGCATTTGGCAATAACAAAAGCTCCTTTAGAAACACAATTTACAAAGACTCATAATCTATTTTATTTGTTTTTAGCTTATATTTTGGAAATGTACATCCAGGTTTTTCCCCCTATAAAATTTTGGGGGTCCCCCAAGAGAGTGGGGCCCTAAGCTATAGCTTCTTTATCATACACGTAAATCCGGCACTGGGTGCAGGGACTGTCCAGTGGGAGCAGCTGGCTTCTGGGGTACAGGCTTTGGAGAAGGGCTACCCAAAAGGTTTGGGGGAAACTGGCTCTGTGGGGAACTCTGAGGGCAAAGGTCTGAGCGACATTTCGGAGGCGGGCAGCAGAACCCCAAGTCCCCAGGGAGGTTCATGGGCAACTCAGAAGGACAAGAAGAGGGCAAGAAGGAAGTTGTCTGGGTAGAAATGGCAGTTGTGGGGTGGAGGCTTAGGATCCGTGGGGCCAGGAGATGAGGCCCCCAACCTGGAGCTGTGTCCAGCCACAGGGAGCCCCTTGAGCAGCCTCCTCTCAGGACAGCCAGCCAGAAAGTCCTTCACGCAGCGCAGAGTTGACCCATGGAGCTTTCTTCTCCTGTGGGAAGCAGGGGTGGCCACCAACCTTGATGGCGTTAAAAAGGGATTAGACAAACTCATGGTGTGGTGGGCTTGTCCGTTAGTTAATGAATTTTGGAAACAGATTGGTATAGAAATATAGGGGATTGTGGGAAGGACAAGGAAATAACTAAATTAATGGCTCTTATTACCCTGAGTAGTACCGAGTTAAAAACAAAAGAGGAATGCAAATGGGTAAAATTGATCTTAATTGCAGCCAGACAGGTTATAGCGAGTGATTGGAAAAATGCAGAAGAGCGAGGGGTGAACCAATGGAGGAAAAAACTGAATAATATTATAATTTTAGAATACCTAACTGTGAAGATAAATAGAAAGGGTTTAAGGTCAGTGAGAAAGATAAGGATTGGTTTGAGAAGATATTGCATTATTTGAGTAGGTTTGAACAATTTGGGGCAATTAAAATGTTAAAAGTTAAATAAACCTTGTGGAAGGAGGAGTGTTAAGGTATATAGAAGTATACATATGGTTAATTTGAATATCTTATTATTGACTATTATTGAATATGTATATTATTGAATATTGTATACCCAATGTATCAGCCACCTGGGGGGTTTCACTGTTTGTGTTTTGGTAGTTGGCAAAAAAAAAAATATTATTTTTTAAAAGACAAACTAATGGTGAAGAATAGGGCTCTCAGTGGCTCCTAGCCAGGATGGCTCTGCTCTGCGCAGCAATGCTTCTGAATGCCGGTCAGTGGGAGCCACAGGAGGGGATGGTGTTGGTCTTGTAGCCAGTCCTGCTTGTGGGCTCCCATTAGGCTGGCACTGTGAGAACAAGTGCTGGACTAGTTGAGCAAGTTCTTTTGATGCTCTTAGGAGTCTCATTTCCTGAAGGGGGGAGAGTGGGGTGCAGAGCCTTTGCTCCCAAGAGGTGGCTGGAAGCAAGGGCAGGCACCCCCGTTGGGCAGTGGGTTTTCCATGCCCCCGAGAGAGGCAGAGGGTGGAGGGAGTGGGGTCAAGATGCCGCTGGAAGTCTCTGGCCCTGACCCTGGTGGGCTGCTGGTGGTCTCTGTCTGGAGAGATTTGGGTTTCCCCTTTGGTCATTTTGTCTTCCTTCCTGGGCAGGATCTTCTCCCCTTAGCCTTCACTGCCCTCGTCTCCAGCGGAGTCTCTCCTCACCTGAAGATGATGGCCATGACGTTGCTGGCTCTCCTGGGCACGGCACTCATCGCAGAAGCCTCCGTGGCTTTTCCCGCCAACTGTAAGTGCCCCAGAGGCAAGCCCCATCTCAGGGGCCCCAAAGGGGAAGGGAGGGGGTGGAATGTGGTCCACAAAGTGCTGTGTGTCTCTGCTAATCTGTGCACAGAGATGCACAGAAGGAGGGAGAGAAAAGCAGGCTGCACCCAGATGTGCTGTGCAGCTCCAGTGCATGCCCTCATCCCAGGAATTTGGGGGGGGGGCTGCAATTGCTCAGTGGGACTTCCCTCATACTTGATCTGGAACCTGCAGCTAGGGCAGAATGCTGCAGCGCAATTGCTGGCAAGAGTGTGGCCTTGTCAGCATCTAACTTCTGTACTCAGAGGTCTGCACCGGTTTAATAATAATAATAATGATAATGATAATAATAATAATAATAATTTATACCCTGCCCATCTAACTGGGTTTCCCCAGCCACTCTGGGCAGCTCCCAACAGAATATTAAAAAAGAGAATCAAACATTAAAAACTTCCCTAAATAGGTTTGAGGGATGCGGGTGACGCTGTGGTCTAAACCAGTGTTTCCCAACCGGTGTTCCGCGGCACACTAGTGTGCCGCGGAACGTTGCCTTGTGTTCCGTGGGAGGGAGGCGGGCGACTCGGGCGGCGAGAGACGGGGCGGCGGCGGCGAGCACACGCGGGGCGGCGAGCGAGCTCCCTCCCACATCCCATCGCCGCTCGCTTCGGCCGGCCTACTGGAGGAAGGCGCGAAAACCTCGCGCATGCGCAGGCCTTCCGCCTGCGACAGCCCAGTAGGCCGGCCGAAGCGAGCGGCGATGGGATGTGGGAGGGAGCTCGCTCGCCGCCCCGCGTGTGCTCGCCGCCCGACTCGCCCGCCTCCCTCCCACGGCACACCAGCCTACCTCCGTGTGCCTTTGCCCAAAAAAGGTTGGGAAACACTGGTCTAAACCACAGAGCCTAGGGATTGCCGATCAGAAGGTCAGAAGGTCGGCAGTTCGAATCCCCGTGACGGGGTGAGCTCCCGTTGCTCGGTCCCTGCTCCTGCCCACCTAGAAGTTTGAAAGCACATCAAAGAGCAAGTAGATAAATAGGTACCGCTCTGGCGGGAAGGTAAACGGCGTTTCCGTGCGCTGCTCTGGTTCGCCAGAAGCAGCTTAGTCATGCCGGACACATGACCTGGAAGCTGTATGTCGGCTCCCTCGGCCAGTAAAGCAAGATGAGCGCTTCAACCCTAACGGTCAGGAGTCCCCCTTACCTTTAAACAGGTTTGGACCAAGTTCAAGGTATTACTGTTCAAGGTATTACAAAGCCCTTGAAAACTTGGGACCAGTTTACCTGTGAGATTGCCTGACCCCACAGGTGACCACTCAAGCACTTCAATCAGCAGAACTGGCACTGCTACAGATGCCACATAATACCCCCCCCCCATTCCTAAGAATGAATCATTTGGTGGGGCAGCACCTACACTTTGGAACTCCCTGCCTATTGACATCAAGCAAGCGCCTTTCTTTATTCTCATTTCTGTGCCTTTTAAAAACATTCTTGTTTAGACAAGCCTACCAAAATAGGTAGACGGTTGACCTAAATTATAAGCTGCTTTAGCATTTTAAGCTTTTTGTATATTTTAAAGCATTGTTGCAAATTTCTATCGATTTTCTTGTTTTATCCTTTTGTAAACTGCTGTGTGTGTGTGTGTGTGTGTGTGTGTGTGTGTGTGTAGTTTGCTTTTGATTTTTTTACAGTCAGGCGGTGCATAAATTTTGCGAAATAAATAAATAGTTTGGGTGGGAGCTGCCCTAGAATAATAATAATTTATTTGTATGTCACCCATCTGATTGGATTGCCCCAGCCACTCTGGGCTGCCTCCAACCATTAGAAGACCACAGTGCCCTGGCCGAGGGAGGGAGACACCCTCAGCGCAGTCCTCCCAGCCTGGCGTCTTGGCGTCCCAAACTTCTCATGAAGGGACGCTTCCGCACCGCAGCCCTTCTGCCACCGCTTCCCCCCCAATTCTCTCTCTCTTCCCCTCCCCAGTGCAGGTTGGGGACATCAACGAGAAGGTGAACCTGACATGCGACGCCCCGGCAGGGCAGCGGGTGAGCTGGGAAGTGGAGGACGGCGCCCTGGTGGAGATGGAGGAGCTGCCGCCCTGGGGTCACCTGCTGCGCGTCGGCCCGCTGGACCTCGCCTCCGCCCGCAACTACACCTGCCGGGGAGCTGCAGGACAGGTGCTGCGCAGAACCTTCCTGGCTGTGCGCGACCCGGACTTCCCCCTCTTCGTCCGAAAAGGTGAGGTGGGGATCAGGGGACCCCTCGGGAGCCTTCACAGAATCTGCGCCTTCGTTGGGCTCCGACATTACGGCTGGGGCGAGCGAGTCGGGACCTGCCTTTGGTATTTGGATCATAGGATTGTTATAAGAAATGGGCTTGGCTTGAACAGCCGAACTCCAGCCAAGGGACTTGCAATCCCTTGAGGTCAGCAATCGCTCAGAGATTTAAACAGGGGCTACGCGGGTGGCGCTGTGGGTTAAACCACAGAGCCTAGGACATGCCGAGCAGAAGGTCAGCGTTTGGAATCCCCGCGACGGGGTGAGCTCCCTTTGCTCGGTCCCTGCTCCTGCCAACCTAGCAGTTCGAAAGCATGTCAAAGTGCAAGTAGATAAATAGGTACCACTCCGGCGGGAAGGTAAACAGCGTTTCCGAGCGCTGCTCTAGTTCGCCAGAAGCGGCTTAGTCATGCTGGCCACATGACCCAAAAGCTGTACGCCGGCTCCCTCGGCCAGTAAAGCGAGATGAGCGCCGCAACCCCAGAGTCATCCGCATCTGGACTTAATGGTCAGGGGTCCCTTTACCTTTATTTTGCAACCAGTTGAGAGGAAGCAAGGAATCTTTATTGCACCTGTTGCAACCGAGTCTCCGCCCTCACCCTTGCAAGGAGATGAGGAGCCCCCAAGACACGCGTGCAACAACTTAAAAAGCCCATAAATTATCCGCCCCCTGGGCATAAAGACCACCTCAAAACGGAACATTAAGGTAATAGAAAGGGTTGCCCAAGAAGCCCTGAGCAGGAGCCAGATCCTGTTTTCCAATTTGCTTTCCAGCTTGTCAATGAAGATACTTTGTTAATGGCTCTTCCTGGCCTGTCTGATACATTCTATCCCTGCCTTTACATATGGTAAAGACTCTTGGCCCCTGAGCCCATTGACGCAAGCCTTGCCCCAGTGCGTAGCGTGGGGGGTGCCAGGGGGCCGGCCGCACCGGGCGCAACATCTGGGGGGGGCGCGCTCGCTGCCTCCGGAGTCGCCGAAGAGCCTCGGGCGCAGGCTGTAGCGGAGCCGCATGTCTCGCGGAACCGACGAGCTGTGCGCGCGTCCGGGCTGAAGGCGCCCGGCAGGCAGCGGCTCTCAGCGCTCGCCGCGGAGGATGCGCCAGGCAGCCCCTCCTCACAGCCCCGCCTCCGCCGGTGCTGCTGCAGCTGCTGGGCCGTTGCATTTTCCTCGCCTCTCTGCCCCCCTCCTCCTCCGGGCAAGCGGCGTCTTTTGGGCGGCAGCGCCAGCGGCAAACTCGCAGTTAGGGGTTAGGGGGGGCGCAAATTACTTGCCTTGCCCTGGGTGCTGACAACTCACGCTACGCCGCTGCCTTGCCCCATTCATAAACAAAGGACAGGGCTGCCCTTCTTGGACTGGCCCAACCAGTTTGCAGACTGGCGACCATCAGCACTACGTCTAGGCCAAAGAGGGCCAGATTTGATGAACTGAAGGGCCGTGAGGGCCGACCAAAGGGCCAACCAGAGTTGACCTTTTTTTAAGGCTGAAGTTGTTGAGCTTTACAGGATTGAAGTTGTCAAGGTTTCTTTGGGGATTTTACCCCAGGAAATAAACTGCCACAGGGGCCAAATTAAACCGACCAGCGGGCTGGATTAGGCCCTCAAAACGTACTTTGGACATGCCTGATCTAGGCCTCCCTGGCTAAAGAAGTGGTCAGAAGAGATCAGCGAGTCTAAACATGGCCTTTCCACTTCCTATAATATTTCGGCCCCGCTTCATTCCTAAATTGTAACTTTTCGTTCATGAAACCCAATGAATGGGCGGTAGAGGGACTATTTCTCGCTGGCGCCCCTGCAAACCTGCAGTACCAGCGGGCGCTCCTGCAGGGGGCGCTGTTGCGCAAGTGGAGACGCGGAAAAGGATCTTGGTGAACCTGCGCCAGGAATTGTCTTGTGACAGAGCCATAGAACTGTAGCGCTGGAAGGGAACCCCAGAGGTCATCCAGCTCAACCCCCTGCAATGCGGAAATCACAGCTCAAAGATCCCCGACAGGATGGCCTGACTTGGCTCCTCCTCCGGCAGTGGGAAGGGCAAGGCAGTCGCCAGGGTCCCTGTTAACCACTCTGCCCGCTCCCTGCAGCTGGAAAGGCAGAAGCTGAGGTGACCTGCGAGGCGCCGTCCTACAGGGGCACCTTCAGCTGCTGGTGGAAGACTCAGCACCCAGCCGCCTTCCGTGCCCGCCTGCGCCGCAAGTGAGTACCTCGCCTCCCCTCCTCGCTTTGAGGCAGGGCCTCTCTGAAGGGCCCGGAACACCTGAAGCATCAGGGGAGATGGGCAGGAGGGCGAGGGGGGCTTCAGGATGGGTGCAGAGCAGACCCCCGCCCCCTCACGGCCACCAGCCAGCCAGGCACCACCTCTTCCGGGCGGGGTTGGATGGAGCTTGCAAGCTGGCAGCTTTGAGCCCCAGGACCTCTCGCTTCAGGACCCCCCCTCCCTCTTAGCGTCACAGGACTGGAACAGCCCCTCCAGGCTCCTTACTGGCTTCTCTGTCTCCGCAGAGGACCGGGCTCTGCGCGCTGCCCCGCAAGAGAAGTGTCTGCCTCTCCGGGCGAGGTGCGCCTCCTGCTGGAGGACTGCTCCTCCCCCTGCCCTTTCGGGGAGAAGACGGAGCTGGAGCTGGCGCTGGAGGGGCTGGGCGAAGACGGCAGCTACGAGGCTCTCCGGAGGGACGTCGCCATCCAGGACATCGGTAGGACGCCAGACCAGCCCTCCCCACCCCGCTCCAGAATCCCAAGGAGGCAGGAGGAGAAGCCCAGCAGCTGCCTTGGGAGGCCAAGCAGAAGGCCACCCGCAGAACTAGGGCAGAATCACAGGATCACAGCGTGGGAAGGGATCCCCAAGGGCCATCTAGTCTGACCCCGGTAACTGGGGCAGTTGGGACTGCCTGTATGGAATGGCTCTATGGGCAGGGACGTTTCCTCACTGAACCTCTGAGCAAGAGCTTCCTGAGGCTTCAGCCTGGTCTCTCCCCCCCCCCACGTTGGACTACAACTCCCAGCAGCCCTTGCAGCCAGTGTGGCTCTTGTTGGCTGGTGCTGATGGAAGTTTAAAACATGGGGGGAGTTTAAAACAGCTTATCCTGCAGGGGAGCTGTGGTCTTGCAAAGAGCTCTGCTTCCACTAACAGATCAAATTCTGCTTTTTGGGGGGGGAGTCAACTGAGAAGCACCTGACTGGCTGGGAATGTCTCAACCAAATGATCAACATCTGCCGATGGTTCCCAAAGTGGGGGGTAGTGGGATTTTAGAGGGGTTCTAGGTGGTAAGGGGGCAGCCAGGGGGCAAATGGCTCTCTGACTTTGAAAAACTGGTATCACACTGGATCCAATGAATTCTGTTGAATTAATCAAATTTTTAGTTATTAAATTCATATACCACCCTTTGTCCCAAGATCACAGCATGACAACACAAGATTAAAACACAAAATAAATAATAAAAACTGGGGGGGGCAGGGGAGCAATTGTTGATGGTTTTGATTTTAATTGTGTTATCTTCCTCAGTGGGTTGTACAAACCGCTATTTTGAGAAATGCTTTTCGTAGGTTGGGTGGTGCTGGGGGTGAGTTTATGGCACCAAAGAGGCAGCAGCCTGAATAATATTTGGGAACCTCTGATCTAGATGATCTGGGCCTCTCCGTAGTGAAAGGCAGTAGCAGAAGGCTGGCCAGAAGGGCCCTATTCTGGCCCCTCCAGAGGCAGAGGGAGGGAGGGGGCCCTGGGTGAAGCCTGACGGCTCTTGTCATCCCTCCCCCTGCAGTGAAGCCAGACCCGCCAGAGAAGCTGACCATCCACAAGGAGTCGGGGGCAAAGCTGAAGCTCAGCTGGGCTCCCCCGGCCTCTTGGCACTGCGCCTCGGCCTACTTCCCTCTGCGCTACCGCCTGAAACTGGAACATTACGACGGCACCCAGAAGGAAGTCAGCAGCGTAAGTAACAAGCTGGTTTTCAGTGTCTGTTTCTTCCCTCGTGGGCTGGTTTCCGACCAAATTGGTCAAGGAGACAGAGCTCCTCCCCATAAAGGAAGGTTGCAAAGTTTGGGAGGTTTTAGTTTAGAGAAAAGGCAAGTGAGAGACAACATGATACAAGTTTGTAAAATTATGCATGGTGGCCTGGAGAAGATGGACACAGCTTGTTCCCCCTTCTCTCATAACACTAGAAGTTATGGACATGCGATGAACCTGAACGTGGGGAGATTCAGGACAGAATCATAGTCTATGCAGCACATAGTCAGCCTATGGAACTCCCTCCCACAAGAGCCAATGATGGCCTCCAACTTGGATGGCTTTAAAAGAGGATGGAGGAGAGGGGTATGGAGGGCTACTAGTCATGATGGCTAAGCTCTCCTCTCCACATTCAGTAAATGCTTCTGAATCCCAGTTGCTGGAAACCACAGGAGGTGAAAGTCGCTCTTGTGCTCCAATCCTGCTCGCAGGTTTCCTACAGGCACTGGCTGGCCATTGTGAGAACAGGATGCTGGACTAGATGGGCCACTGGCCTGATCCAGCAGATGCTCTTCCTACGTTCCCTGCTTCTGCATAATGTTACATATCGGTATGACGTTCCAGGCACTTACCTGGGGTCTGTGCTTCCTTTGGAAAAGATGGCACTGTAGAGACTGTGGTGTCTTAATAATAATAATAATAATAATAATAATAATAATAATAATAATAATTTATTATTTATACCCCGCCCATCTGGCTGCGTTTCCCCAGCCACTCTGGGCGGCTCCCAATCAGTGTTAAAACAGTACAGCGTTACATATTAAAAACTTCCCTGAACAGGGCTGCCTTAAGATGTCTTCTGAATATCAGGTAATTATTTATCTCTTTGACATCTAATGGGATGTCTTTATGATATAAGGTTTATATCTTTATGATATAAGGTTCATCTAAACATATTTACAGGCTGTGTCTAGATGGAGAGAGTTCATCCAGCTTCTGAGATGGTCCTGTTCTTTCCATTGCTGCAGTTTCAGATTCCAAGAGACCCCAGATATCATGTCTGACCCTCTCTGCAGCATAAAACAGACTTCTTGCCTTTTTGCCCCCCCCCCCAACTTGCAAAAGGGACACTTTTTTCCTGTTCACTTCTCTCATTGCTCACTATAACCCTGGAAATTTCCACCTCCCAAATCCAGATGTGTCTTTTACCTTGTTGATGGCTTTCACTGATGGGCTAATGACAGGCCACCACCAGCCTTTGTTCTTCCAGTGATGCCCATCTCGATTAAATCTAACTCTTGTTGAATCCAAGAATTATGGGGGACTTGCACCCACAACATCTGGCACTCAAAACCTACAACAGTAACATAACCAGCCACTTTCCCACATGCTCAAAGGAGCTGAGAATGGGTGAGATCTCCTGACCACAAACTGCCATCCCCTTCCATCACTGGGACTCCCCCACTCACAGCCAAAGTGGGCCAGGCCAAAGTCAAGGCCTCCTCCAGCTCAATAGTCTAATCCCAACATCTTCCAATTGAGGCACAGTAGCCTCAGCTGACTCCCCTTCTTCTGTTCTTTGTCCCCAGAACCTGATCTTGGAAGGTATACTGCCTTTGTGCAAGGAGGATAAAAGGCAGAAGTAGTCAATGTGGCAGCTTCCATCTGCTGCTGGACTCCATCTCCCAGCATCTAGCAATGGTCAAGAATGATGGAAGTTGGAGTCCAGCAACAGCTGAAAAGCTACAATTCCCCAACCCACATTCTCTGAACTTATCCTGGCTAAGAGCCTCTTGCAGATGGGTTCGCAATACCAGGGCTCAGTAGTTGGGCCTGTGAGCACCACGGACTCTAGCCATGGCCAACGAGAGAAGCTGGGACCCCTCTGTTCTGTGGGACCCCCACATCAGAGAGCCTCCCTCCTCCCCCCAGCAGGCCCTGGCTCTGCCCCTCTTCCAGCCCAGTCACACCTGGTTTGCCCTCCTTACAGGACCAGCTGGAGGAAACCGTCCAAGATGCGGAGGCTGTGCATCGTGCAAAGATTCGCTGCCAGGATCCTTTCACCAGCTCCATGTGGAGCCTGTGGTCCCCTGGGTCACCCTCCGCTGAGGACGCCTGGGGGGACGCTGCTGCTGCAGCCTCTCTTGGGGGACCCAGCCAGAGGCCTCTCCACAGCAGCCGCCTTGCAAGCCTCTCCAGTGAGCTTCATCTTCCTCCTCTTCCTCTGCTTCTGCACCTCTCCTTTCAGTTGGGGGGCTACTGGTGGGGCAGAATGGAGCCTTGTCTCCATCTTGATGCCTGAGAGGTGTGTTTTCAGAAGCCTGTTCCTGGGGCTGCAATCTGTTTCAACTGTTTTTAATCCTGAATCTTAAATCCATTCATTCATTTATAAATACAGTGGTACCTCGAGTTAAGTACTTAATTCGTTCCGGAGGTCTGTTCTTAACCTGAAACTGTTCTTAACCTGAAGCACCACTTTAACTAATGGGGCCTCCTGCTGCTGCCGTGCCGCCGGAGCACAATTTCTGTTCTCATCCTGAAGCAAAGTTCTTAACCCGAGGTACTATTTCTGGGTTAGAGGAGTCTGTAACCTGAAGCGTATGTAACCTGAAGTGTATGTAACCCAAGGTACCACTGTAAAAATGTTTTATCTCCTGCTTTGCAGTACAGAAAAATACTAAAACTGTTTACAGCAATTGGAATGCAAAACCTTAACCGTTTTGGAAGCGTGTGCCCTTAATTGCCTGGGGAGGCCGGTGGAATAGAAATTGCTGCAGCCCCCCCTGGAGCCTCCAGTGGAGGCGATAAATTTACCCCATCCCAGGCCAGTGGGGGGGGGAGAGAATCAGTCCCAATGTCAAGAATAAAGAGCTGGTCTTCTTTCGTGGCTTCCAATAGATAACCACCTCCTTCCACCAGATAAACCTGGACCCATTAAGTGCGGGATATAGCAATTCTGGAACTCTGAACTCACCATTGGAGGATGATAAGAGGAATAACAAAGAAATATGGGCTTGACTCCGTATGGTCTTGGTCTATATCACTTATTAACAGCGGTACAAAAATCTCCCTCCCACCTCTGTCCCAGCAGCCACTATGGAGAAATTATCTTAATGCTTTAGATGGAAGTAAACTCTGTGGATGGGAGCTTAATCAGTACAGTGGTACCTCGGGTTACAGACGCTTCAGGTTACAGACTCCGCTAACCCAGAAATAGTACCTCGGGTTAAGAACTTTGCTTCAGGATGAGAACAGAAATTGTTTCCGGCGGTGCAGAGGCAGCAGGAGGCCCCATTAGCTAAAGTGGTGCTTCAGGTTAAGAACAGTTTCAGGTTAAGAAAGGACCTCTGGAACGAATTAAGTACTTAACCCGAGGTACCACTGTAATGTAAAAGACTTTCCAAATCTGTTTTGATGCCATGTGGATGACTGCGTACAAGACTTAACATCTGTACATGCATTTTTCCTGAAAGACAGCACTTTATGCTTGCAATTGTTTTTTAAATTCTCAATAAAGTTCATGCATGAAGCCCTGAGCTCCAGTTGCCAGAGTGAGTGTGCCTTAGCAGTCTCTCAGGAGGCCCTGCTCCCACCCTCCACCCTCCCATCTCTTTTTTCCTCTCCCTCCTTCCTGGAACAAGTGAACTGAATCTCTCTAAAAGGGCTGCCAACCCAAAGACATAATGTTCCCTTTTATAAGGAAACAAAGCACTTTTATTTTTAAGTCATTCTCGAAACTTTTCATATTTGCTTTACCGCCAGCAGATGGAGACTAGTTCACCGTAACATCTGGAAACTGTAAAATTTCACTTGTCTGCAAATCTAAATGTCTGTGATTTATTCTAGCCTAAGCATTGATACAAAAGTTGGACACCACCCCCACTCTCTGCCAAGCAGTAGCAAGATTCCCGGAGGGTTCCAGGCACTAACCCAGAGTTGTGTTCCTATTGGGAAGATTTGTTAAGGGTTCCAGAACGTACAGGGTTAACAGTTCTGGGTGACGTTCTGGAATGACGTCTCACATCTTGAGGCGTGGTTAAGTTACACATACGGGAGTGGTTTCTGTGTGTGTTTCTTCTCTTCCGTCTGCCGGAGAGGAAAGATGTGTGAATCGTCTCCGGGTGATTAAGACTGAATTTACGATGTTATGCTACCCGAATAAAGGCTGTTAGAGGATAAGAGAAGCCTGCGTGCAAGCCTGATTTATTACCCACACACTGCAGCAGTTTTTCACCGTTGCGTATCGCTCTGCTAAACCGACCAGAGAGAGGCAGGAGGACGTTTCCGTGACCAGCAGGGAGCTGTATGCGCAGAGGAAGCCTGCCGGGCTCCATTTTGGCCCTCCTGGTCGCCAAAAGATTGAGGTGCAGCAGAGGCTAGGGAAATATGGTTTATTGACACATTTCTACACCTATAAGTCTACAATGGGGGGGGGGTTTGCAGAACATTATGCACCAAGAGAGCAGGATCTGGTTCAAGCTCCAACCCAGCCATGATGCACAGTAAATCTAGTGCTCTGAATTGGGGTGGGGGGGTGGTACCCTCTGATGTTTTGCGTCAGCTTCCCTATTGTTTCTGGAAGGCTACTTGGGTCATGAGATAAAATGGGGGTGGGGAAGTCAGCACATGACTTTCATGAAGACCCTCCCCTTTTGCCCTATAATTCAAGCAGCAGAGACTTACCTTGCCAGACTGTTGTGAGAATGAGGTGAGATTTCTCCTCTGCTGGAAGGAAGAGTTGCCAAAGTCAGAGCTCATGTGATGCCAAGGCACAGAGAGAGATTGTTCTCAGCAGCCAGATGCAATGGCAGAAATATACCAGGAGTGGGCAGTGCAGACCCACACAACCCAGCCAGAGGGAGAGAACAGGGTGAAGGAATGGGTTTCTGTGCAGTCAGTTTGAAACTGACCCAAAACCCCCATTTTTCCTCCTCCAAGGGAGCATTTCTAAAATGCTCTAACTTGAGCTCTTGAGCCAAAACCCAGCTGTATAAACCAGTGCTCAAAGCTCTCTCCTTTATCAGTCCGTGACGGCAATGAGTGGCCTTGCCAGTTCCAGTAGAGCAGGGATGACACGTCTGGGTCTTATCTTACATCCTGACCACAAAGACGCACAGACCTTGTCAAGTCTGACAAGAGACCCGGGAACGGTGCCAGGAGTTGGTGACCTCCTGCCCCAAGATAAGAGTATAGGAACAGGAAAACCCTTTTATGGTTAAGAATACCGGAGCAGGAACATATGTGATGTCAACCTGTGTGTATAGGCTGACGTGTCTGGATTCCTGGGGAAGGGGGGAGAGGGTGCCTGGAGGATATATATACTGCATGAAATTTCTCATTTCTTTGGACTTGCTGTGGACTGACGACGCAAGTGCCTTCTGCTATCCAGAGAGCAGAATAAACTCTTTCTCTGAATCAACCTCGGTGTCATTTGACTTCCTTCCTTCCTCCCTCCCGGGAGCAATGAAGATCCCATCAGTCGGTAAAGTCTAATAAGGCTACAAGGGGACCACTTCAGGTGGTCTGCGGAAAGAGCAGTCCCTGGCTAGCAGCCAATTAATGGATTCTTTTGTATTTTTACTGCAAAGGAGGGGATGGAGGACTTGGAGTTTGCAGTGCCAAAAAAGCTAGCATGGCCTTGGGTAACTCTGTACCTGCTCAGAGTGTAGGGACTTTATTTGCTGCTGCTGCTGAAAAACCGCCTGAAGCCAAGCCTGAACAACAGAGGCACCTCCCATAAGGAGGTCTGGCAGCAAGAGAAGCTCTTGAGGACCACACTCTCTCCAGGGCTGGGCTTGTTGAGAGAATCAGAACTTACAGGGTTAAGAAGATCTGTGTGACGTCTCACATTCTGAGGCGTGGTTTGGTATTACCGAGGGGAGTGTTCCTGTCTCTCAGTTCTGTTCCGTTCGCAACGGAGAGAGACGAGCAAAGATGTCTGCTCGGTCGCCGGGAGATTTATGATTTGTTTTTCTACACGAATAAAGGCTTTTAGAAGATAAGAAAGACACCGTGCGTGCAGCCTGATTTATCACACACACACACACACACACAGCAACAGTAAAAGCTGCGTATACTCTGCTGGAAGTAGCTGGACCGGAGAGGTGAGCAGAGAGCGCTGAGAGTGGAAGCACGTGGGCTCCAGACGGAAGGCTACAAAGGCCACAAGGGCTGTGGCCACAACATTCCATAGGTTATGGGTGGCCAGAAAACGCTTTGAAGCTGTTGCCAGACGTGCCGGTGTGTGTGTGGGAGCCAGCTGGGAGAGGCTGCAGAGAAGTTGGAGCTGTGCCTAACGTTTCAAGGCAAGCTGACGACGCTGAAAGCCAGCTTTGAGTCCTGCCTGGAGGGGCAGAGGATCTCGCTGGAGAATAAGCTGTTCTGCTGGTCCGGGAGCTGGAGAGCTACGGTTGTATACGTGAGTAAGCTAGGCTCCGGGGGAAGATGGCAGACAGCCACGAATCGTATGCCGTTCCATTTGAAAAATTGGACGGAAAAAACTGGGAGGAGTGGAGTAGGAAGCTGAAGGCCTGGCTGGTAGCCAAGGGTTTGTGGGGAGCGGTCCAAGGGCTTCCACTACCCCCACCAGTGGCCGGTGCTTCGGCAGCAGATATTGCAGAGGCACACGCTTCACAGAGAAATCAAAAGGCCCTGGGAGCTATTGTGCTCAGTTTGGATGGTTCTCAGCTGCCTTTGGTAGAGGGATTTGAGACTGCTTATGAAGCCTACCGTGCACTGGAAAGAGTGCACCACAGAACAACAGCTGGGGCAAAGATACATACCACCAGACGCTTGTTTGAGATGAAGCTGCGTCCTGGGGACAGCATCAGGAAGCATGTAACTGAAATGCTTTCTGTGTTCAACCAGCTGAGATTGTTGCAAGTTAACTTTTCTGAGGAACTGAAAGTTTATATCTTGCTCAGCTCATTGGACAAGAGTTATGACAACCTGTGTCTAACTCTGGAGTCTATGGATCCGCAACAGCTGACGCTGGCTTATGTGACAGGCCGTTTGGGGATGAAGAAGAACGGCGTATCAGAGAGGGCAAAGCTGGTTCAGGAGGCTCCTCAGGTTGCAGAGGAACCAGGCCAGCGGAATGCTCTGTTCAGGCTTTTTCCACTCGTCGTTGCTACATTTGCAATTCGCCAGACCATTTGCGTCGCAACTGCCCCCCAGAGAGCAAGGGAGACAGGGCAGGATGTCTCCAAGGTCGCTTCCCATGGGAACCAGCCGGGTTTCCATGGCAATCAGTCCAGCAGGGCAGGCAAGCGTGGGAAGACGCAGAGAGGACGTGGCTCAGAGGGGGAAGACGGCGCTTATCAGCTAACTGCATCCATGGCGGTTGTACAGGACACCTGCAAAGGCCCCAAGGACAGGGGCAGCGGGACGGTCGTTGCTATGGCAGCTTTGGAGAACAGCTGCAGTGAGAACACAGTGA